GTAAAAATATCATTCAACTTCATCTCAGCTTTGTAGTAAACCACTACCATTCTTCTTTTATTCACCAAATCTCTAATGAAGAAATATTTTACTTCTATATGTTTGTACCTACGATAACTCACTAGAATAAATTGATGGTAGAAACATTATCTATCTTTAGCTGTATTGGTGTCTTCATATGGATTTTTAGCTCTCTCAACAATTCCTCAAGCCAAACTCCTGACATGTTATGTAACTCTCAGCTATATTCTGCTTCACAATTAGATAAAACTACTACCGACTATTTTTTGGACACCAGAAATAGGAGCATTATTTAATAGGAACACATATCTAGAGGTATTCTTTCTCTCTACTAGATCACCACAATAATCAAAGTCAGCAAATCCAGTCAACTCTAACTTTAATTTATGTCTCTCAATAGGAAACAATACTCCATAATTTGTTGTGTTTTGAATGTATCTCAACAATTTATTAATAACTTGCATATAAGACTTATTCAGATCACCCATGAATATGTTCACAAGTCCTATACTTAATGATTAACCTGGCTTGTTGTTACAAAGATATCATAGAGAACCAATGATTTGCTTGAAGATTGTCTCGCTTACAACCTCTCCAGATTCCTCCTTTGTTGATTTCAAATTAACCTCAATAGGACTCATTGTTGCATTGCATGAAACCATGTTGAATCTCCTCAACAATTCTCTAGCATATTTCTTTTGATGCATTACCAACTTTGCAACCCTGTAACTAAACTCATGCCTAGGAATATAACTCAGTTTTTCTAGATTTGTCGTCTCAAATTCAATTTTCATTATCTTCTTGAAGTTTTCAATGTCTCTTAGGTTTGATCAGTCACAAGTAGATCATCAACATAGAGATAAATTATCAGCAGGTCTTCTCTAGTGTCTTTCTTCACATACACACCATGTTCAACAATACACTTTGTAAACTTGAGATTTAGTACGAAAGAATCAATCTTATTATTCCAAGCCCTTCGAGCTTGCCTCAACCTGTATAGAGTTTTTCTCAGTCTATAAATTTGATGTTCTTTCCCTTTCACAACAAATCCAGGTGGTTGTTGGACATACACATCCTCCTCTAAAGGTCCATGTAGAAATAATGATTTTACATCAACCTGAAAAGTGGTTAATTCCTTGCACAAGTCACAGCTACAACCAACCAAATAGTTTCTATCCAAGCCACTGGTGCAAAAACTTCAAAAAAATATAGTCTCTGTTGCTGAAGAAAACCTTTTGTTACAAGCCTTGCTTTGTGCTTAGAGATTAACCATCAAGATTCAATTTCTGCTTAAAAACCCACTTCACTCTAATGTAATGCTTCCAAGTTGGTAGATAAAATAGTTTCCAAGTTTCATTCTTCTCAATGGATTTGAGTTCCTCATGCATTGCATTTATCCAAACTGACTGCTTTAAGGATTCATTATCATTAATAGATTCTGCTCCTGCCATTAGTATCATGTGAACCAAATATCCCTCATCATTAACTTGTCCATCAGAATGCATCTCAAGATCAGACAATTAGCATGACATTAATTTCTCACTTTATGGCCTTTGAGACACAGAATTTTGTGGTGCAACTTCTTTGTTTTTGTCAATATAGAGCTATCAACAACACCATTTGTCACATTTTTTTCTTTAGACTGGTCTGCATTTGTTTCCAGTCTCAACTCTCATATTTTAACACCATAACATCTCTATTTATTACTACATTTTCTTTGACTAGGATGATAGCCAATGAACATCACTACTTCACTTTTATCTTGGAGTTTGGTTCTCCTCTTATCAGGTATATGCTTAAAAGCTAATGACCTGAAAATCCTAAAGTGACTAATTGTTGGCTTCAATCCAGAACAAACTTCCAATGACACCTTCCACTATAGTTTCTTTGTAAGACAACCATTCAGGATATAAACAGTTGTTGATATTGCTTCACCCCAAAATTTTTGTGGCAAGCCTTTTTTCTTGATTAAACTTCTAGTCATATTCAAAATTATCATATTTCTTCTCTCTGCAAGGCCATTATGCTGAGGTGTACATGGTGCAGTGACTTCTTGCACAATGTCGCTGGTTTGACAATAATTCTCAAAGGTATTAAAGGTGAATTCATCTCCTACATCTATTATTAGAGTTTTCAACAGTTTTTCACTCTCCCTCTTTACATATGTCTTGAATATCAAGAAAGTCTTTAATGCTTCACTCTTCAATTTGATTACATATAACCATATTATCATACTAAACTTATCCACAAAGATAATAAAATACCTATTTACATCTAGTGAAGGAACCTCACAGGCTCCACATATATCATAGTACATAACTTCTAAGCAGTCTTTGAATTTTATGCTCAAATGCGCTTGGAATATTTTTCTTATTTGATTTCCAACTAAATAGACCTCACACACACACACACACACTCTCTGACAGTGTAATATTGGGCATTCCATAAACCATATTCTTCACACAAAGTTACTGTAGACTCTTGAAGTTTAAGTAGTCATATCTTAAGTGTCACAACCAGCTATCATCATCACTCTTCATAGCAGATAAGTATTGTACATCAGCAACCCTCATATTGACTCGAAAAATTCTGTTCTTGGAAAGCTTACTCCTCAAGATCAGATTTTTGTTGACATCAAATAATTCAATCCTGTCATAATTTCTCATGACTGTTGTAAATCCTTTATGCACCAATTGGCTAATGCTTAGAAGATTACACTTCATTTCAAGAACAAACAACATGTTGGAGATCACTGCGAACCATTTTTCCTCAAAATAACAATATCTCTGACTTCTTCAACTTTCAATGTGCTATCATTAAAAAGTTTAACCTTGCTCTTCTTTGTTGCATCAAAATTGATCAATCATTCTTTATGACAAGTCATGTGATTGGAACATCCCGAATCTAGGTACCAAGACTCAGCCTGAGAATTAGAATTCTCTACAATGCTAGTTGTCATCAAGGTCAATGGTTCAAAATCATAATCCTCTTGTGTCACATAAGTCTCATTGTCTTGATACTTCTTCTGCTTTTCCTTATCAGCATGATACTCATAGGAGTAGTTTCCTAATTTGTGACAATTAAAACACTCTACACTTATTCTATATTTTTTTTTATTCTTATCTTATTCCCCCTTCTTTTTATTGAATGAAACTTGCTATCACGATTATGCACGATCCTGTTAGACTTTCAATCTCTTTTTATTCTTTTCTCTTTTTAAAATATGAACAAATATAAAAATTACAAATTCAATATCTAAAGTCTCGGAATGGTTTTCAAATTTTTATTTTTTTAAATACAATATAAAAAAAAGATTGGAGGTTGTTTTACTCGCTTTTTCAAAACATTTTTACATATGTTAGTGATGAAAAATAGTTTTAATTTAGATTTTTAATTTTAAAAAAGATATTGTATCTTTCGTATTTTATTATTATTATTATTAAAACCATTATAACTATTACTAATATTATTTTGCTTATGGTTAGAATTAATTTTCATGTTACGAAGGAGAAAAAATATCCATTTTATTATTACTAATATTATGATTATTAGAAATTGTACATACATTTAAAATAATTTTAACATAATAACAAATTATATTGTATTTTAAAACTAAAATTTAAAAAGGAAAACTAAAATCTAAGACTAAAATACATTTCAGTCTCCGTGAACAAAAATTTGATTTAGTTAATATATGTAAAAATTGAATTGTATTTTAGTGTTATAATGATTTATTTGAATAAAAAATCAATATACATTTTAGAAGATTAAAAAGACCATTTAACTTAAAATTCAATAATTTATTATAATTTTTTGAAAAATTTTAAACTTATAACTAAAAATCAACTTGAATGGAACATATTTTATTATTTATGTTTTAAGGTTGTGGTAGTCACAGTGAACAATGAATTCATACATGTTCATAAAATGTGCAAGACTTATTAGTTAAATTTGAGTCTAAAATGTTTAATTGGATCAAAATAAATTATTTCAATATTACATTTGACTACAAGACATATTTAATTAATTAATTTGTGTGTTAACATAGACGAGGTGATGCGGAATAATATCTACATTATTTTAAAATATAATTAATATTGCATATATTACATTTGAACTAAGTACATTTTAAAAATTAACTTATTATGAAAGAATATAAGAGTATTTATATATTAGATATGAAGTAAAAAATAAATAAATTAAAAACGAATAAATATAAATAACGAGAAGGATAAATTTGTTAAATATTACTATTTTTAATACATTAACGATGGTATAATACACCACTATTGAGATATTTTGTTCCAAACCACATCACTTGAAACACCCGGTTTTAACCAATGTTTCCATTCAATCAAATCCACAAGTGTGTCACTTACACTGCATCTTATATTTAACGTAACTTTTGTCTTATTAGATTAATTTTGTGTATAAATGTTGAATTGAAGGATTTAGATGAATGTTATTTTTTTACTTGGCAATCATATGACTGGAAGATAATATTTTAAAATTTAATTTAATTTTATTTTATTTAAATTTTCACTAAGAAGTTATAGTTTTAGACAATATTAACAGTGTCATTATTTTTATATATAAGTTTAGGATAATTAGTTTATTTATTTTTTTAATTTAGCAACACATTAAAATATAATCAATTGATTAATGACAATTTAAAGAAAATTCTCTGCCATTAATGATCTTACTCAATTAAAGAAAAATTAATTTGTCTTAGAATAAACACTTGCATTGTGCATTGAGTTTTTTTTTTTTTTTTTTTAAACCCTAAATGTTACACTTATTACTGCGGATAAGTAAATTTTACAATTCAACTGTGGTTCTACGTCACACCAGACCGGTATTTGCTTTAAAACCACATTCGTCAACTCAACTCGGGTGTCAACAACTCGGACGGGTCACACTGGTTAAGAAGACTCGGTGTGTTTTAAAAGCGAGGACCAAGTAGTAGTTCATTTCATTCCATGCCCCGGGAATTCACCTTCCTGTGTCGTACACTTGAGCCATCAAAGCCGGTTCTTTCTCTCTCTTTTCTCCAACTACGTCGGCACCGTTTGTGTTTTCTTCACTCTAGTAGCACATGTACGCAAATCAACACAAAATATCATCACCACCCATTTTTACTATTGTTATTTTAACTTTTTGTGTATGTGTGTGCTTACTTGATGTTATTGCTTCCCCTTTCAGGCCTTGACATTTGACGTCTTCCGCACTTGCTCAAAGGGTAACAAATATTCATTTTTTCTGCTCATCAACCTTTAACTAGTCCAATGCGTGTACCCGTGTTTCTTCTGCTTTGGATTATATAGTTTGTGTGTGTGTGATATATGTTATATAGGATATGGAGAAAGATACATGTAAATATTTTTGGGTCGTTGGTATTTCGATTAATTGTCAGCATAAAGTTTTGTAAAGTGGGTGTGCAGAATCTTTGTGTACTTGTCATGTTCTGGTTTCAATGGTTTTTATTTTCTCCTTTTGCTCTTCTGGGTTGTACGTGTGAATCAGTTTGTTATGTGTTGCTCTGCAATGACTTTGGTGGTGAACATGCATACAAGTGGATCTGGAGTTGGTTATTATCTTTTTCTTTGGTAATAAAATTTTTTCGCCTTTATATAGTTCTCCTCACAGGAATTTCGTTTTATTCTGTCTTCTCCTTAGGCTGCGTGTATAGTGGTTGTTGCATGTTGTAATTGTTTTGAGGCTGTATCAGCCATTGAGGAATGTTGTGTTTGATAACAAGTTTGCGAATTTTGCTTTTCTGGCATGGAAAATTAATAGGGTTTACGGAGTGAGTTAGGTATCCATCGTGAGGATTTTGATGTTTTGTCATACAAGCAATTAAGATCCTTTCCAATTTTCTTAGGTACAGAAATAGATTGTTTTATCTGTTGTAATCCTTTTGGAGTTACTGATTAATGAAGAATTCCTTATCCTTCGTTCCTGTTGTTTGTGCTCTAATACTGAGTTTGTGGTAGTTGATTCTCTTAAGAATTTGGTAGCGATGAAATAATTGAAAGTAAAAGCAATTGGAGGTCTAACATTTTGTTATACGGTGGTCTCTATCCAAACTAAATGGTGTCATGTGATCCATGTATCTGATCTCCCTTAGTTGGATACGACTTTGTTGTTGTATAAGTTAATATGCGAATCAGTGAAGGGTTAAAAAGTTTTGAAATAAAGTATCAATTTCTTATGGGTAGCGAAGGGTCATGAAATTTTAATTCTTTCAAAATGTGTGATGCTTTGTAAATGGCCAGGTAAGTAAATAGATGGTGAGTAACTCTATGCATTATTTTTATACCTAGCTAAAAGTCACATTTGAATGTGCTCCTTGATAATATTATCCAATCTACATCTCCTTTATAATACTGCTTATGATTTGAGTTTTTAGTTAGTTTATTATACTTTGTTTCTTGCAGATGGATATAATACAGCAGAACGACAACGATAATTTAACTGAACATGCATCTAATAGTCCTCCAAGTTCACCTTACATAAGCAATTTAGTTGGAGTTCCACAGCTGAATCCTCGAGTTGGTCCTGAATACCAGGTGGAAGTTCCTTCACCATTAAAACAATCTGAACGACTTCAACTTCTAAGGAATCCTGCTGAGTCAGAAGTTGGGCTTGACAACTCACTTTCCTATGCAATTGGTTTACCCATCTCTGTCACATGGATACATCATGCAGAGGAGAGTAGAGGAAATGAAGGGTGGGGATACATTGGAGACGATGTAGATGAACTCAAACCCATAACATTTCAATCTGTGATGACAGGAGACAGCAATTCAGCTCAACTGAGTAAAAGCAAAAATTTTGCATTAGCCCCTGGCACAATAAGTAACTCCTGGAGTGACTCTGATGCAAAAACTTTTCTCCTTGGTTTGTACATTTTTGGGAAGAATTTTATTCAGATAAAAAGATTCTTAGAGAACAAAGGGATAGGGGAAATACTGGCATTTTACTATGGAAAGTTTCACAAATCTGATGAATATCGTAGATGGTCAGACTGCAGGAAGATAAAAGGGAGAAAGTCTACAATAGGAGAGAAACTTTTCACTGGTTGCAGGCAACAGGAACTATTGTCCCGCTTGATTCATGTCTCAGGAGAATATAAAGATACTCTGCTACAGGTATCAACAGTGTCATCTCATCTTCAGTGTTTTTATTGAACTACAGCATTTATATTTCATTTGCCTGATGAGCAGCTTATCCTATCTTACTGCATTTTATGATTTTGAAATTTGTTTTTATTTGCACTTCTCTGATACAGTGCAATGTTTATTTTTTCCCTCCAATTTTTATGAAGTTACAATGTAGAAGATCACGATGGTTGTCTACCTACATTCATGGGTGTTTATTAACCATGTAGAAGAATAGAAGCCATTTGTAATTAGGATTCTATATCTTTTGGAAGTTTCTAATTCATTCTGTTTGCCAGCTTCAAACAATACTTGTAACTGATTAAGGTTCAGCTGTTTGGAAGTATCAGTTATCTAATGTTATATACATTGTACATTAGATACAATGGCAATTAAGGTGGAATAGCTGATTGAATTATGATCTTATTGTTATGTACTGGTGGTTGATTCATCTTTATGGCCAATGGACATGTATTTGTTTATCATTTCAGTTGTATATTTATATGCTTCACTACCATTTTGCTTTTGCTAGGTTTCTAAGTCATATACGGAGGGCAGAACTTCTTTAGAAGAATACATTTCTTCTTTAAAGTCCACTGTTGGACTTGGTATTCTTGTGGAAGCAGTTGGTATTGGTAAGGAGAAGGATGACCTTACAACTCTTGTTGTGGAACCTGGGAAGAACAATAGGGTGTTTTCAGCATCAACTTGCAAAGCTTGGTCTTCTCTTGGACCAAATGATATAATGAAATTTTTAACAGGATTTCGACTGAGCAAGGCTAAAAGTAATGATCTCTTCTGGGAAGCTGTTTGGCCTCGCTTACTGGCAAGAGGTTGGCACTCTGAGCAACCAAAAAATAATGGTTATGTCAGCTCCAAAGGTTATCTGGTTTTTCTTATCCCCGGTGTTAAGACATTTTCAAGGAGAAAACTTGTGAAAGGTGATCATTACTTTGATTCTGTTAGTGCTGTCTTGAGCAAAGTGGTAGCTGAACCGAATCTTCTTGATCTTGAAGAAGCTAAAGTTGGTAGCTGCAATGATGAAGAGGCAGAAAGGGGACCAGATGACGATGATCATTCTGATTAACGTCATCAATGTTACCTCAAGCCTCTAGCTTCTACTTACAATGTAGGTCAGATAAAAGTCACGGTTATTGATACCAGTTTGGTTTATGAAGAAGGCAAACCATCTTATTTAAGAGAAGAACCTGTTCCTGTGAATTCAATGGGCGAAGTTGAGGTAAATGCTGCTGATACACATGAAGAGGCCAAACATATGAGGAAAGTAAACCACAACAAGGATATTTCTGAAAACATTGATCAAAAGTTGACTGATACTAGTGTGCTTTGTGAAGAAAAGCTATTAAAGGTGAGAGAACTGCAATATGTGCCAGTTGAAGTGGAAGATGCTTCGAAGATGGATGGTTGTTTAATAGAAAGTAAGGGTAGCTTTTATGATGATTCACCGAGTATGATGGAAGCCAATATGCTGGTATATGACAAAAGGGATATTGGTAATACTGATGACCAAAAGAATGCTAAGAAAATTGTTGAAAGCTTGGAGAATCAGAAGACCTCTGTGTCTAATGATAATAAACTAAAGAGGGCCATAAAGCATCAATTTAGTCGAAGAGAAAGATCAGGTCATTCCAACCATGCAGTTGTTCCCATCAAAAAGAGGAGATTGGCTGCTTGTTCCAAGGCAGAGACAAGCCATATCATTGTGAATTCTTCAGGAGACTCGGGATCAGAAAAAATGGCATTCTCGCTCACAAAGGTTGCTGATCGTGTTTGCTCTCAGAAGAATGGAAGTTTAATTCCTTCTTCAGATGAAAAAAGTCTGGTAGAGAATAACAAAGAAAGCATTCTCAATGAGATTTGTGACTGCAGGAGTGTTTCAGGTGATAAAGTTGAGAAAGGTGAATCACAGTCGCCAGTCACCTTCAACATACCCCAAGTTCCGTTGAAGCCTGAAAATGTTGAAATGATGGAGGAAGATGAGCAGACCCTGAAAGAAAATGATCGATTTTTATCATCTGATACTCAGGCAGTAGCTGAGGAGCCACTGGGAACCACTTCTGCTGTTCGTTCTGAGAAGCAGCAGCCTAGTATAACATCAAGGAGGCAGAGCACAAGAAACCGCGCATTGTCACTTAAAGCGCTGGAATCTCTAGCAAGTGAACCCCTGCAGGGAGAAAGGAGACAGAAAAGGAAACGCGTCCCAAAACAAACTGATGCATTTAGTATTTGGCGCAAGGCTAGTTCAAGAAGCAAAATGATGCCCCACAGTCAGAGTTCAGATAACGGGACTGCAGTTTTAGTAGAAGAGAAGCAGTTGAATGAAGACAGCACTGCTTAAGAAATATCTGTGAATCATTAGATTAAGTTAAGAGTGGTACTCCATTATACCAGGTATCTTTGAAGCTACCTGTCATCGTGAAGTTTTGACTTCTAGAAACAAATTGATTTGGAAAAGTGCAGATGATTCGTCTGTCTTGTGTGCAAATTATGTTCTACAGCTGCTGGAGTGATTATACATTCACATACTGTACATAATTTTTCCATACCGAAGAGAATGTTGATGATATCAGTTTCTTCTTATTTTTTATTTTGTTTAAACTAGAAAGATCCCAAAATTCACTTAATATTGAATATCCCGTGGAAATTATGATAAAACTTTTGAAATGATGGTAGTCTTGCCAGAAATTGAGTGTGCTTTAGCAATTACAAATTGACTCTTGTTTGTGTGGTCTTGCTTGACAAGCAAGAAAGGGGTCATACCTCAGATGTGTCCTATTCTTACAGTGAATACTGAATTGATCTCAAGTTTTGTGAATCAGATTATTACAATCAACACTTTTTTGCAGTAAAAGCATAGACCTTGATGTATTAAACACCCTTTTGTCCAACATTATTCTGATTTAGTATATATCAAACTTAAGCCTTTCTTTCATTCATGCATGACAATAAATACTTTTCTATAAGGCAAAACAATTAATTATCCCTAGGTCTTGGACTTGGAGATGGTTGGTTTCACCTTGCATGAAGTTGTGGTTACCTCCACAAGTCAAATCATTGCAATAACTAATGCAAAGGGTATGCAAGTAGTGAATGATGTTGAGGAGAAGATCATGACAGAAACCTTATATGATGATGTTCTTGTTGGCTTCGGTTGGTCTTATCTGACTTTTATTTATTTCTATTAAATTTAAACCTATTGGAGGTGACGTTGTTGTGGCAGCCTCAACAACCAATGATCGATTAAGGAAATTAAGATGTCTATATAAAGAGAGATACATGTAACTTTTTGACATTATGGGTACCTTTTACAGCAAGATTCAACCTAAGAGAGCCGACAAATACATAAGTCAGACGACAACTTTTTATAATCAGCATTGTTTGATAGACAAAAAACAACATATATTAAGGATAAAATATATTTTTATTAAAATGATAGGTCATATCTAAACATAAAATGTGCTTAAAATTGAATAAGTTGTATATAAATAACATTTAACCAACTGAACTTTAATAAACATAAGAAAAACGTCTTTAATTGTTTCCAAAGTAACCTAAAATTTTGAAATTAATTAAATATCTGATGTAATTATCATAATTCAAACATAAGTATATTAAAAGAAACAAATACACTACAAATTTTCGTTGAATATTTTAGTCAAATCAATAAATATGTATATGTTAATAATTACTTTTCTATGTTGCATAATAATATATGTATAGAAAATCAACTACATCATCTCGTTACGAGTGATATTTTATAATAAATTTTAATTGATATTTTTATTGATTAAATTGACTTTACACATACATGAAATATGGTATGCTATGGTAGAGGAATAAATTTTATTTTGGATTATAATAGCTTAGATAAAAAAATATATTAAAAATCCAATATAATCCTATTTATTTTAAAAAAAATAATCCAATCTATTTATTACCACTTATTTTATGGATGATTATTCAATCTATTCATGAAAAATAACATGCTTTGAAAAATTATATAAAACAATTAAATTATATTTTAAAAACATTTTTAAAAGTATTATTTGTAAGATAAAATTAAAAATATACTTGAAAACTTAAAAAAAATAAGAAATATTTACTAATAAAAAAAATGTTTGGATATATTTTATTAAGTTACATATTGATAGAAGAAACCTTTAATTTTAAGAAATAATAGATTAATCATTACTAAATAAAATAGATGAAGATAATCAATGAATAAGTGAATGGAAATTTAAGTAACTTATCTAGATGCTATCTATTGTCATCCTTATTTCCTAATCTATATAACAAAAATTTATTACTTCATTATTCTTTCACCTAGTCTTTTACACCTTTTTAATAATAATAATAATAATAAATAACAATAATGGAGTAGTGTGTCTTACTAAAGTAAAAATAATTTTAGATCATCATCAACAATTTTATCATTACACATTGATCTCAAGAGTTTTTCATATTTAAAAATTGTTAAATTTGAGAATATAATAAAAATTGGTTATACAAATTACTGTGAAATTTTTGGATGAAAAGGGTCAAACCTATTGTGATTATCTTTTTAAGCCTTAATATAATCCATTTAAAAATTTAGTATGACCTAAAGTTTATTTATTTGGCTTTGGAAAGCCTTTAATCAAGTTAATAAATATAACCAACTCCATAAATTTTAAAAATCAATAATTGTTCATTACATGTACATGAATTATTCTCTCTCTTTATAAAAAATTAGTATAAAAATAAGAAGACAAAAAATAATTATTTTATTAAAAATAAACTAACACATAGAACATGGATAAGTCATCTTCTTGCCACGAGATAAAAAATGAGAAAACATTTTATATGTAAAAGTAATTAAACAACATGAATAAATCTTTTATAAAGAAAATACTTCAGTATCTTAAGTAAAAGTTATAATAAATAAATTTAATAAAGTTAAATTTGAATTTATAGGATGTGGTATCAAGTTCAAGTTTTTAAAATTAATTTTTTTAAAATTTAATTAAAACTAGTAAATTATATATATATTTAATAAAAAACAATTATAATTTATTACGTGTAATAAATTTAAAATAAACTATTATTAATCATTTATAATTAAAACACACTATAAAAGTGTGTCAATTTAATTATTATATCATTTTATTGTTTTTATTTGTTTTTCCTTTTTGTGTTATATAGAGTAAGAAAGACTTGTTTATTTTAAGAATAAAAATTAGATATATTTATTATTATTATTATTTTAGTAATATAATAATTTGTTTTATCTATTATATTAAAAAATATAAAACAAAGAATAATTCTTTAAATTATACTCTCAAAATCCACTTGATTAAAAATACAAACTTATTCAACAAATATTAAGAAGTTACACTTAAATCTACTCACCGATATAATTAAAAAAAAAAACATAATATTTTGTGAACAAAAATTTCATTCTGCTTTATTATTTTTATAGTATGATTTGTGAAATTTTGGTTCAGAGAAGAAGTTGCTGCAGAAATTAAACCCTAAACTCCCAGATCATAGTCTCAGCATCAAAACAGAGTTTTCTTCTCTGCACTTTGCAGTGGGATTTCAATTTCTTCCATAATCAACGCGTAGAACCGAAACATTTCGCCAGGTGGGTACTCTTCGTGGTTTTTTTTTTTTTTCTCTCTCGTATCTAAGTATTTACTAAGCGTGAATATATACAGATATACAGGTGTAGCACCTGGTCATTTTCGTAACTCATAGTTGAGTTTGATACTGGGATATTTTAGGTTTAGCGGTTACGATTTTAGAATTAATTTGTTGTGTGATTTGTTGCGTACTTTAGGTTTTAATTTTTCTTTGGCATACTAAAAGAACCGAAGAACTGTTCTTTTGAGCTCAAATTGGCGGAGAAAATGGAAGAAGACGACGATTATGAGGAGTATGTGCCCGTGGCCAAGCGTCGGGCTATTGAAGCTCAGAAGATTCTCCAACGCAAGGGGAAGGCCCCTGTCGCCATTGATGATGATTTGGAGAAACAGAGAGTGGCTGAATCTAAGCCTAGTCTTCTGGTTAAAGCGTCACAGTTGAAACGAGAACAACCCGAGATAAGTGTGACGGAGCAGATTGTTCAGCAGGAGAAGGAGATGATTGAAAACTTGTCGGATAGGAAAACCCTCATGTCTGTTCGTGAATTGGCGAAGGGAATCACTTACTCGGAACCTTTGCCTACAGGGTGGAAGCCGCCTTTGCATGTGAGAAGGATGTCAAAGAAAGAGTGTGATTTGATTCGAAAGCAGTGGCATATAATAGTTGATGGTGGTGATATCCCACCCCCGATTAAGAATTTTAAGGATATGAGGTTTCCTGAACCAGTTTTGAAGAAGTTGAAAGCTAAGGGGATTGTGCAACCAACACCTATTCAGGTGCAAGGACTTCCTGTTATCTTATCTGGGCGGGATATGATTGGGATTGCTTTCACGGGCTCTGGTAAAACACTTGTCTTTGTGCTTCCAATGATCATGGTGGCAATGCAAGAGGAAATTATGATGCCTATTGTTCCTGGAGAAGGTCCGTTTGGTTTGATTATTTGCCCCTCAAGGGAACTGGCTAGGCAGACTTATGAAGTGGTCGAACAATTCTTGATACCTTTGAAGGAAGCCGGATATCCAGAGCTCAGGCCTTTGCTTTGTATTGGTGGGGTGGATATGAGATCGCAGCTTGAGATTGTGAAGAAGGGTGTACATATTGTTGTTGCCACTCCTGGGAGGTTAAAGGATATGTTGGCGAAGAAGAAAATGAATCTTGATAATTGCAGGTATTTAACATTAGATGAGGCTGATCGGTTGGTGGATTTGGGATTTGAAGATGACATTAGAGAAGTTTTCGATCACTTCAAAGCTCAAAGGCAGACTCTTTTATTTTCTGCCACTATGCCAACCAAAATTCAGAACTTTGCCAGGAGCGCTTTGGTGAAACCTATTATTGTCAATGTGGGACGTGCAGGGGCAGCAAATCTTGATGTAATTCAGGAGGTAGAGTATGTTAAACAAGAGGCAAAAATAGTGTATCTCCTTGAGTGCCTACAAAAAACCCCACCACCAGTTCTGATTTTTTGTGAGAATAAGGCTGACGTTGATGACATCCATGAATACCTTCTCTTGAAAGGGGTGGAAGCAGTGGCTATTCACGGAGGCAAGGATCAGGAAGAGAGAGAGTATGCGATTGCAGCTTTTAAGGCTGGCAAGAAAGATGTGTTGGTTGCAACAGATGTTGCATCCAAAGGTTTGGATTTTCCTGATATTCAGCATGTCATTAACTATGACATGCCAGCTGAAATTGAAAATTATGTCCATAGGATTGGAC